AGTAAAATGTTGCTGTCGGCGTAGGATCTCGGATCATAGAGATTTCGGATCCTCATTTAGGTCCTGGTCAGTGCCCTGGAGGCCCCTCATTGAACATTCAGTGCGACCCTAAACGTCCATGGCCTCAGTGTCCTCCTCAGTCTTACTGCTACGCTACTGGCTCGGTTGATGTTGGACCACATTACTGCTGCCCAGTTTGTAAGTACATCACAGCGTTTGTGGTTTCTCAAGAGTGAAACTTACCAAAACTGTAGGGTCTACTTATGGTGCGTCGTACAGACCTGCAGCCCCATTCTACGACTATGTACCGCCAATGCCAGAGGATTGGCCACTTAACATCAAAGCTTCAGCTAATTGGCCTACTTCCATTATCAGCCGAAATGCGATGGCAAAGTTGAAGGTGATATTTATTGAATGTGCATTCGGTGCCATCCTTCCAACTCTTTTTTTTCCAGATATCCTTCAACAACGAAGACGCGGACGAAAACGAGAACGTTCAAAAATTCTCAAACGTAAATTTGCGGCGCTGAGCAAAATGGAGGTGCGAGTGGTTTTGCGTTGTCTGAGCGATTACTACTATTTATACCTGTATAAAAAGGCATGCTGAATAATTATTGCTTCGAAAACGTATGGGAAAGTGCAATAAATATAAGCTTTATTTGTAATGTCAATTATTCAGGATAACTGTGTTTACAGTGTCCTTCTCAAGATATCTTTAGGATCTTAAACAGGGACAGAATTCATCTGTAATCTGTTGCCTTGATCGTAATTTTGACAATTCCGCAAGTCTGCAGAAAATGATGAAAACACAATTTGCAAACTATTTGATCAAACACTATACAACATGCAAACTGCGTTGTGCTTTCTTGCATATCGAATTTTTCTTAAGGTTCTTCGTAAGCCATCCGAGAAGTAAAAATTTCTTTCGTTTGCGCAACCTGCAGACCATGATGCTGATTCAAGAGAAGCAAAAAGAAAAAACACATTTTTCTAAGCGCTTTTTGATATTTATTGATGCCTATGACCTTTCGTATCTCGTATATCCACCAATATTTATAAAAATAAATTTGTTCAAGCAATATTATCTCAGTTCGTGTCTCTCCTTGCATTGGCGGTGCTTTCTTTTTCGTCCCCGTTCTCGGTGTTCTGTGGAATTCTCTTGTTATTTTAAAGTTCTGCTTTGCGCGATGCCTGCTTAGGCAAGCTATTTCTTACACCGAAATGCGGACTGGGCCGCTAGTACTGCTTTGATCGAAACTCTCATTACACCTTTTTTGCATACTTTCCTTTTTTATCAAGTGTCTTGTTGGAATTGGAAGCTATCATGCAGATAGGAACGTAACATCAAGTTCAAAACATGTATTTACAAAAGAATGACAAGAGATCTTATTATGTTTTATAAAGTCTTGTGCTTTCATACATTTTTTCATACAAGTTTCACATCAGCTTCACACTATAGTAGATAATGTGAGCAAAACCTGCAAAATTTGGTACATCTTTTACTCGCTGACAGATAAATCAGCTGTCTTACTTAGGAGTTTGACTGCATGGACAATGAACAGAAAGACTGTGTAGAGCTGAAAAAGATTTGTTTCAATTTGCAAAAACACAAAGTCGAAGCGGGAGTGTCCAAATTTTTATACTCACTTATTTCAGCAAAGAAATCCGTAAATGCTCTGGCAAAAAGATAAACTACAAATACGAGTGCAACACCCTGAAAGTATTCTGTAGAAGCTCAAAGGTGTGCCTGTTTCAGGCCCAGTTCCTTCCGATCTCTAAGTTGTTTACAATTTGACAGCGCTCGCCAGATTTTTGGAAAGGAACCTACTGCGAGCAGTCTTTCTTTTCTTACGCTTTGCTGATGAGGAGCGATTTTTTGAGAGCACTCGTCGAATTTTTATGGTAAACTAGCTGGCAAACCCGGCTCCGCCCGGCCCTGTCAATAATATATTCGTAGTCAGCATGCTCACTTACCCCCCCCCTGTGCCAACTCCCATCCCCCTAAGAACTTTTTGAAAAATCGATATCGGTATCGATCGATGACGAACGGTAGCCTATAACACCCGCCCGGCCCCGAAGTGTATGTGTGCCAAGTTTGGTCCGGATCGGTTCAGAAATGGAATTTTCTATTCGGAACATACGTACATATATACAGATAGACATACATACATACATACAGACAAACAGACATTCAGCTTTATATATAAGACTAGCCAGCGGTCCCGGTTCCACTCGGGACTCTAGTTTAGCTAAGAAGAAGTTAATTATACTTACGCTTTTGAGCTTCTTCTGCGCAAAAAAGGCTTTGAAACGAATTGCCCGCATCTTTCCGACATTGAGATTAAAATGAGCTATACCACCCCTTGACTACATGATCACGGCAAAATGATTGGTTTGAGCATGTCAAGCCTCATTTTCCCAGATGTAAGTAAACAAATCAACAAATCAATAGAAGGACCTAGTAAATCGCCGCGAAAAGTAGCCTATGTTCTGCGCCGGGGTTTAAAACATAAGTGTGCAAAGTTTCAGCTCATTTAGTCCACTCGGAAAGATTTGTATAAAAAACATACTTATTAACAGACAAACACACTTTGAGTTTTATATATATAGAGATGAGATTTGTCACTGAGGGTATATCAGCTCGAGATTAGTTTTCCAAACAGACAGTGGTCATCACTTTATCTTCATGATATAAGTAATCTGAAGGACATTGCAAAAGTCTAACATTTCTATTTCATTTATTGTTTTCCTTAACACAGTTGAGATTCTAGCTTAGGTATCTTGGATATATAAAGTGTCAAGAAATATACACACTGTAAGATCGTTCACATCTCTCTTGCTCGGATGTACTCACAAGGGAAGTCAGTTAACTTACATTAGCGTTTTGAGATGAGACACACATATTTGGAATCAGCTTCGAACGCTGCATCTAAATACGCTGTTCCTAGCTGCAGCACATCATTCTGAAGTGAGTTATCAATTTTTTTCTGTGCAAAATATGCATAATTAACTACTTGCATTACGGTACTTCTCGTAGCACCGTCAGCGAAACTCATCTGGACTATGCGGAGCCGCCTTATACAGCGGCCGAGAAGAAGTGCAGGCGCCCTCGCGTAGTCGAGCACGAATCCATCAAAACATAGCGAAGTCATTAAAACACCAATTTAGCACATACAAACCTACTAGGAAGGACTAGATAAGCAAAATAGAGAACGACAGAGGTACAAAGAAGCTCAGCGACTTTACAGCCGCAGCTAGAGACAGCATATTTGGAATCAGCGTTCGAAGCTTATTCCAAATATATGTGCCACATCTCAAAACGTGAATAAACCTTACCCTTGAGGGTAAGTTTTACTTCGGAAAGCATAAAACCCGTGTAAGCAAAGGATAGATTAATCTCAAGGGTAAACCTGCCCTTGAAATTGAACCTTGCTCCGAAAAGCGATTAACCCGTTTTTATCAACGATTGTGTGGGTAAACATTAACCCAGAAAGAGATTAACTCGCATTCACTCATCAAGGTAAATTTAACTCTAGCACAAGGCGAGGTTGAATTTTCGTAAAAACATAAATATAACTTAAGTTATAAAAGGAAATACAGTAAGAGATGTGAATAAAGAAGAACAATTTTCCAAGCAAGAAAGAATTCTCTCATACTTACTGTGAAAAATCAATTTGGACAGACCTACACGACAACTTGTCTAAAACCTTGATGTAATCCTTTAAAGTTATCAAAAACGATTTGAGTCAAGGTTACAAATAGTATGTATTTTGTTTCCAGAATTGTCCATGTTTAATCTACTATGTTGTGAAAGGAGCGAAATTCCTGTAGACATTTATCGAAGCAATCAGAACCACATGCTTTCCAAAATTTGCTGACACACTTTGATTTGAAATTTGATGATGAAAAATTTAGAGGCATATATGGTGGCATAAATCGTTTTGTAGCTTAAGATGTTTTGTTTCAGAGATTGTTTGATTTCTACCGATAATTTTCCAGAATGATCTCATTTTTCAACAATGCATTAGTCTTTCCAAAACTGGTCGATTGCTCTCTACATCATTTCTCATAGAATTTTGTTTTAAGTTTTTAGGGCAATAGTAATTGAATCCACAAGATCAGGGCATGCTTTAATTCGTGGTATGGCCATAGAAAAGTCCAGCATGTCCCAGTCAGTCTCAACTATATCTCCTCTCAAATCGGCAATTTTCAATCAATGAGTTTTCTATTTGAACATAGAATTGTATGTAAATTGGAAAAAGGAATAAAGACCATTCTATATATCTTTTATTCTTAGCATAAATATAACTTAACATAACTTTTTTTATATGACTATATATACGTTTCACATACCCATTACTCGAAACAGAGCTGAAAACGTCCAAGGAGTCAGAGAACACCAAGCAGTAGAGCCAGAAAAGTAGTGGAATGTTTTGTTGCGGACATTAACCCTTTAGGGCCTGACTTTTTCCCAGGAAGAGAGAGAACTGCTCACCTACTGCTTATGATAGGGTAGCGTTTGAATAACAATACAGCGAAGTTTGGATCTTTTTCGACAACCAGACGTTTTTATTTTTAATTTTTTCTGCCAACCTTCAATCAATTTTCTGATTTTTCCCAACAAAGATGAAATCGCGTACTCGTGGCAGATGTGCTCGCGTCACATCATACTCCACACTCTAGTTAATAGTATAAATCCATTTCAACTAACAGGGGAGATAATTGATATTTCTTTCAGCAGATGCTGCGGCAGACAACCGTTATCGATTTTCTGTCACTCAGTTGCGCATAAAGATTCCTACATTGCTAGTACCACCATGGATGAAATGGGGCTTGCAAGTCACTATAAGGAAGGCAAAGGTTGTCTGAAGCTACCTATGGCAATAAGTAGTAGAAATCTGCTGTTGCGCCAGTAACATTGCCCTTTGAAGTTGATGGTGGCAATTGCCACCACCAGGTCCCAAAGGGTTAAAAGAGATGACGCAGTATAAAAGACAACTTTAGCCAAGTGAGCATACGCCTGTGGTTTCGCTTCCAAAGTATAAACATGCGTAACCTAAACCATATCTCCCGTCCTGAACACCATTCTATTGAGCATTACACTTACGGATGTCACCGCTTCTTACTTTTACTGACGAAAGACTATCGTGAAGCTTGCGTGCTATACTAGTCATTTGCCCCTATAACATTCAGTGGCATACAAAACAAGTTCAAGTGACTAGTTTCGGTAAGTAAAAAAACACGTACTTTGAGTGGAAATAATAGTATGTTGATTGCAAATTCGGACTCAAAAGTTTTTTTTGCGTCTGTAACCTGACACTTGTTCGCCAGACCCAGCCATCGTCGTTCAGTGCATTCAAAGCAAGACCCACTAGGTTGCAGTCGAAAATCTGAAAAAGAGAACTTTTTGGAAGAAGTTCTGCTGGGACTGCATAACACTGATGTTAGACGCAATCAACAAAATTGTCCAAAATAATTGATCAAAACGAGCAGTTCTAGTAACTCATTGAGCTCTGAACCAACCAAATGACTTGCTTCTTGAAGAAGGGCACTTTTTTGTTCAAGAGCTTGGTTCAACTCCTGGTTGTTAAAACGGTTTCGTAGGTTGTTTCCCTTGCCTAATATGGCACACTTTTCAACGGTTGATGCATAGGAAAAGAAGTTCAAAGTCTATAAAAACAGATCAAAGTGGACAGAAAAGACTCATTGCTAAGAAGTACCAGCAAAAAGAAACAAATATGCTTCACGCTTTCTCGCAGAATCGGTTTGCAAAGCACGTATCGCAGCAAGAGCATGAAAGAATGACAATTACTGTGTATTCTCGCTCACTGTTATAGTACAATGCGTGCTACACTCATCTTTTTGACTATGGAATAGTACATTTAAGCTAACGATCAGCGTTGCGTACTCCGTTGAAGGTTTTGACTAAAGCGAAACCGATGGCAAACAGCAAACTCATAAAGGTGAAAACTTCGTGCTGCAATCAGAAACTCTGCAATATGCTCCATGCCTTTTTTGGTGAAGAAATTAGGTTGGTGCAAAATTAGTTGATGCAAAAATAGTGCGTAATATGCGAAATTATCCTGACAAGCTATACATTTGTCAGCATTCCATAGTCCTGGATATGATAGAAACCAGGGCCCGGCGGGGGTGGCGCTTTCACCGCTTTCACAAGCTGGATATCGTTTTTGGCCCGAAGAAGCAAAGGGGAATGATATGGAAGAACAAGGAATGATGAATAAAGAATGATATGTGCATTGTTTATCGGTAAACAAAGGGCAAGTCGTATTTTCCGGGGAGGAGCCCCGAACCCCAAAATACGACTTGCCCTTTGTTTACCGATAAACAATGCACGTATCATTCTTTATTCATTCCTTGTTGATGCTACTGTCCTATAAACTTAGATTCCAGCAATGTGAAGATTCTGTGCTCCGATCGCTAGCCTGCCCGCAGGCGGGAATTCAAATCGCAATTCTTGTAAGAGGAAAATAACAAAATAGGCTCGTTTTCAATGCACAAGTAACGATATGGCACCAAATTTGCTGTGTAGTTGGAGGACCATGAGCTCAAAAAAAGTATGAAGAATTATGAGAAACTTATGTGAATTTAAAAAATGGTGTTTTTCGAAATTAGGTGGCTCCCGCGCCACCTGGGAGCCACCTGGGGTGGCTCCCTGCTTCCCTTCACATATAGGGCATACCAACCACCATCGGTCGTGGATAATCGCGGGATGAGGCTACAAAGGCGCGACGCAGACAGCGAAATTATTACCTGAGCGCGAAAGCGTCTGCTGGTAGATCTATGGCTAGGGTTAAATTATCGCTGTTTTCCAAAATTTCTTGCTGATTTGTAAAGAAGCTTCTCTCGCATTTCTGTCGAACTTTATTTCGTACTTGATTGCATGTTGGATTATCGTGTTTTCCATAATTCACGCGATAGCAGCATGAGCACCCTGAAACTTCTTTTCTTCCAAATCGGCAAAGGAAAAGGAAATGCAGTTTGTGTGACTGTTCAAAATTGACACTTTGGTTCTATATGTTTTGAGATTAGGAGACTTGAGAAGGTTGCACACGTTGTTTAACAAACTTGAACATGTTTCTCCTTCAATTTCTAGAGGTAAACCAACTAAACGGGAGAAAAACAATAATATTTTCTACTCATGCTTGTGCAAAGCGTGCTCGAGTCCCTCAACTAAGAATGGATGATAATCTTCCCATGCATGAGCAAAAGATTCGTTTCACCATCTTGAATACTCTTCATTCGAACAGCGCTACCATCTGAATGGTAAGTTATCGATACAAGCACGGAATCTGATGCTAGCTAGAGGATAGAAGGTAAGCACGGGTTGAATTATCGCCATAAATGTAGGATCAGGGCTAGCTTTCGCGCTCGGGTGCAATCTCCTTCGCTCGCGTCGCGCGCGCGCTGCCTCATCCCCTGGGTAGTCACGACCGATGGCGGCTGGTATGCCCTATAATTTCCCGGATTTCTTTACATAAATGTGGACTAGGTCGAGAGTATTACTATATGTTCAAATCCGCTTCCAAAACCACCAAGGCACCGCTTCGATACAGCCCCAAATAGGGTTCACAGCGTTATGATCGGCCTCGGAAAGCGCGCTCCAATCGCAATCGGTTATTGTAAATTGTAAAGTTTCGCAGCTGACTAATAAATGAGTAGTATCTTAGATATATAAACGTCAAAGTTTGTGCAAATCTTGACCCTATGTTTTTTTATAGATTCCTTTGCGGATGAACCCAATGAGCTGAAACCTTGATGACCCGGGCTGGACCAGGAAAGCCAGGTAGTACTACTATAATAAGCGCTGAGGCCGCCCATCGTATTATTTCTGTATATCTGTTTGTCAGGGACTTACGGGGGTCAAAAATAGGGTCAAAGGGGAAGTCGTAAGAAATTTTGGCTTCAAAGGGGATATCGTTTTCAAAATTCTGAAATGCCAACTCCTGCGGGGCCCTGATAGAAACACCAAGATGCAGTGAAGCTTCTGCAACTTTTGCAACTTTTGCAACCACACTCACTGGTGCTGAAATAACGAATGGGCATGACAACATAATTTTAGGAACAAAACCAATTTTTGTAAATTCTCTTAGCTTCCTTCGATATCTTATAGCCGCAAGCCAATAGTATTGAGCTGGAAAGTGGCAATAAGTTTTGCGACTTCTTCCATAAGTTTACTCTCTTTGGATGTGGCGTGCTCAAACTTTCCCAATATATAGAGCGCAATGTGTGCCAAAAGTTTGTTTAGATTTCCACAAGAATTAGAAAAATTCCAGGCATTCTAATAAATTCTAATGATTCTAATTTAAAAAATTAAATAAATTCTAAAATTAATTGCTAAATTAATTAATTCTAAAAGAAATTTAATAACTAATTTTTAAAAACTTTTAATGATTTTATAATGAATTTTGAGAATTTTCGGGCTTATAAGCCAAAATGAAGCCGTTACCAGCCTAAACCATACGCAATAATCGGAATCGTGTAAGAATTATTGCTAGAGGTTGACTTATTCGGCTCAGCAAGAGAAAAACAAAATATCATGTGAGTTTCGGCGCAATCACAAAGTCGAACGAGTCCGCTGTACGCAACGCTGCTGGGGACAACCGTCAATGAGCAAGAGCTCAGACCCTCACAATACGCCGAAAGTTCGCATAGTAAGTTTATTTGACCTGCAAAACACGAATATCATATCTATCTGTCGATTTAGCGTCTCTTTCCTTGTTTAAGGCAAGACCTCATACCCCCCCCCCCCCCCACCCCCGCCCCACTGCTCTTTCTTGCTTACGTCATAGCCTGCACAATGGCAAAATTGGATGCGCTAAGTTGAGAGAGAGGAAGGTGATTGAATGAGTTGCATAACTTAGTTTCCAACCTAATATAAGTGCAAATAAAAAGGACTGTGACGAAAGAATTGGCTAGAAGAAGAAATAGAAATCTAATCTGCAATAGATCCTACAGTCCCTCATATGAAGTTTTATGATTTTTGTGCAGTGGACAGCTAAGTTTTTCTTGCAAAACTTTTCAGATGTCCTACTCTCAAGGTTACAAAAACGTGTGGAGCTTTGGCGATTACCTTTCTCAGAGGAGAATTTGAGCCATAATAGCCATAATTTTGAGTTACATGGACAATCTTTTTTTGGTTCAAATAGCCACAGTAATCAGAGAATTATTATAACAGACAATAGTATTTTTCAAATATATGTTTTCATTTGCTTTGAAATTCTACCAAAAAAAGTAAACGCAACAAAACTTTAGTTTAAGTGCGGGTGTCTCAAATTCTGTAAACTTTCAACGGAAACTTTGGACCTGTTTTAGCCTTTGAGAGCATGAAAAGAGCTTTCGATTACTCTGCGAAATATGCTTTGAAAAGAAAGATTCGACAGGGATAGCTGTTCAGGTTGCAATGCTACAAATTTTCTGTATCCTCTGTGCAATGTTTTACTCCGTTTGTTCGCAACGATTGAATGACATGAATTGAAATCAACCTTTCTATTCTGTTACTTTGCCTAGTCTCTTTCACATATATTATCTTGCTTGATTTGTAGCCTTTACTGCAAACAAGAGTGTTTTTACTATGTTTTCCATAAATATGAAATTTTGGTATTCTTACCTTGGATCGCTCCAAGCAATGCCTTATTCAATCGGTCAGCACTACAAATCCACTCCAAAGAAGTTTCATACAATCAATTTTGATGTGATGTTTTAATTTAAATATCTACATGTATACCGGCACACTGACCACAACAAGCAGAAATACGATTTGCTAGAAAGTGTGTTGCAGTACTTACCACAAAATACAATATTATCCAACATGTCAATTCAGATGGTGTCCGTCGAAACCAAGAGCGTAGGGATCTAAGAGAAATGATGTGGCCGAGATTAGAAATATACCTCAAACAAGGACAGCGTTTTTGAAGGGAGAGGACTGCACAAGCAGAAGTTGCAACTTCGATTTTTCGTCCATGAAATGAAAGCAAAAATAATCAAAACATTTCGAAAATTCGTTTTGAATTTTTAGGCTTGCGTTTTTTCTGACTTCCCGCTTCTGAAGCTTCTACTAAACCTATTTTCTATGAAACTTCACAGAAAAAGGGTACTTTCATTGTTGACATGCTCGCGAAGGTTACAATAATAATGTTGTCGTAGCCCGCTGTCAAGAGTTCATCTCCCCTCATGAAAAATTGAGTTTGTCTTATCCCTAGCTCTTGCTGTAAAAAACATTGTTATTCCTTGATCCCATGAGAGCTCACATCAGCCGAAATCATTGGTAGTTTCTCACGATCAACATTTAGTTCGACTCACAATTAAATCAATGCTTGCTTTGCTGGAAAAAAATGAATACCGTTTTAATAGCGTCATTATCTTAATCTCGAAAACGAAGCTTCTGTGTTTGCTCATATTTAAATTGACCATAGGTAGAGTAAGATTCTTAAAAAATTATCTAGGTTTTGTATAATTATGTTGATTATGTTATGCCAATACGAGGTTTGGTGAAGCCTTTTATTGATGCGGCCTTACGTTTCGACTTATCGTCGTCTTCAGAGGCCTAGAGTGGTGCGAGATTTAGATCTTATGCTTATTCCACCAAATGCCTTATCACCCTCTGGCTAGTTGCGTTTCCCCCTCCGACTTCACAAGAAAATTCGCATAAAGAGGAAGACGAACCAACCTCAGCGCCGCTTCACCAATGGTGCACTGGTGGTACTGTGCAACCCGTTTTGACGTGTCAGTAGTGCCAATGAGCTACAGTAGGCAGCTTGATATTATGCATAGTAGCACTACATTATAGCTCACATAACGCTATGAACGGCATCAAGTCATTCGTAATCGTCAGACACTCCTTTCGATTGTTCATAGTGGGATTTCTCTGCGAGATCCAGAATGCTTCGAGAGCTTTCCGCGCAGAAGTGTCGGTCTCGTAAGCCAAAATCAAACATTTAACTTCGTAGTCTTTATCACCATGCACCTCATGTCTATGCTTCCCTAACGGTGAATTGAGACTAATACGCCTTTTGTTGGCTAAATGTTCTTTTATTCTCACACCAAGTGCCCTCCCTGTTTCTCCAATGTAGGTGGCGCCGCATTCAAAACACTCAAGCTGATATATCACTCCTACTTTTCCACAGTCGCCGACCTTACCGTAAGGACAGATTATGCACTCTTTCGAGATACAAAATCGTCAAAACGGGTTGCACAGTACCACCAGTGCACCATTGGTGAAGCGGCGCTGAGGTTGGCTCGTCGGTTTTGGTTCGTCTTCCTCTTTATGCGAATTTTCTTGTGAAGTCGGAGGGGGGAACGCAACTAGCCAGAGGGTGATAAGGCATTTGGTGGAATAAGCATAAGATCTAAATCTCGCACCACTCCAGGCCTCTGAAGACGACGATAAGTCGAAACGTAAGGCCGCATCAATAAAAGGCTTCACCAAACCTCGTATTGGCATAACATAATCAACATAATTACACGACATGCCGAGGTTTCAAGAAAAGAGAACAACCAAACTATCTAGGTTTTAATCGTGTAGCAACAAAGAATAAGTGTTTTTGATACGCACTTTTCTACATTGAATAAGGAAACTTAAGATACGATCATACTCTTCAAATCATTACATGTCATTTTATCTATGTGAGACCCTCACTTCTTTAGTCTTTGGCACATTGCGTTCAATTTCTTCCTTGCAAATACGGAGAGTGACTAATTGCTCTAGGCTAGATTCCACAAGATGCGAAGAACTAAATATTTTTGGTACTTGGAAGATGAACAGAATCAGCATAATGCTTGTTGAGCACTGACAACAACGTCGGAACGCAAAAACAGAAGACTTTTATGTGTAGAAAATTCTTCATGTCTATGATGCTTCGAATTCGTTTCAGTTTGTGCAACAAAATGCCAAAACCCGACATTGATCTGAATCAGGTCGGTCAGAAACAAGGGCTTGAGATTTGGAGAGTAAACGTGAGGAATTTTTTCATTAATCTGTGTAGTAATAGGATAGAGTTTTGCGTGCACCCAGCAAAACACTTGACAATTCGTTGTAATCTTGCTCATTTTAGAAGTTTAAACTGGAACCAATTCCAAAAGACGAATATGGTCAGTTCTATTCTGGCGACTGCTATGTTTGTTTGAACGTGAGCGTTTGATTGTACATTCCATGGTTTTCGTAAAAATTGCACTCACATGAAGTAAAAAACAACGTCATTCTCCGGTCAGCCGCAACAACAGTGTTTACTTAAAACAGGCTGAATTGATGTTTTTCTGTCAGAAAAAAACAAGAGTCCAGCGGGAAGCGTGATATCTTGTAATCAATCACTCTTAGTCAGTTATAGTGAAACATTTTCAGCGAAGAGATACTCGGTCAAGATTAACCGCTTTCCTAGTACTTACAAATACTGTTTACAAGTTTAGAATCAAGAAAAATCTTGGTTCTGCACATTTCATGTTCACATAAGCAAAAACATTTTTACATGACAAATGAAACGAATCACATGTGCAACTCCATTAAAAAACGATTTTGGCTAATTTGTATTTACTATGAACTCCTTTGGTAGATAAAATATACTGATTTATATTCGATGTGATAGATCCGAGTAGATTCCATTTCAAAGAAATTGAAAAGTACTTCAACCTTTTAACTTCCAGACCAAGTACGTTGGAGGATGGGACATTCATTTCTGGCATGGCGAAAAAGCCACAACCGACGAAATGGGTACAGCTGCGATAAAAGCTGTAGAGATAGATCAAGCAAAGGGCGATCTTCCAACGCAGTACCGAGAGCTACAATATCACGAATCACCATTGTTTCTCTCATATTTCCCGGAGGGAATCAGGTAAGATGGAATACCGAGCATGAAAAGTTGAGAAACCAAGACTTTTAGTGTTTTCTTGCCTCAAAAGATTCCTAAATACAAGGTCTAATTAGCGATTGCGGCTTTTGTATTCCTAATAGTTTTCTGCATTTCTAGTTCGCATATGTCATTAGCAGAATCTTGACAAAAGTTTAAAAAACCTAAATACTCAGATATCTGGAAGGAGGATATGAATCTGGATATCATCATGTTGAAGATTCGTTGAAGGACTTCCAACCAAGGTTGTACCACTGCAAAGGGAAAAGAAACGTGCGAGTTGTACAGGTGGGTTATAAAATAAATGCGAAAAAAATGAGATTCATATATTTGAAACAAAATTTTTATTTCGCAGGTGGAGTGCAAAAAGGAATCTTTAAACCTGGGAGACGTATTCATACTAGACCTTGGGCGGAAGATCTATGTATGGATGCCACCTGACAGCGGTCGCTTGGAAAAGATAAAAGTAGACAAAAATTACCAATACCAGTATTGCCAATGATATCAATAGTAATACCGATGATATCTGACGTTCAGGGCATGGTTTGTGCGAAAAATATTGCTGAGGTAGAGCGACATGGCGAAGCCGAGGTACACGTATTGGGTGGGTATCTGTACCATAGCAATGGTAATTATCTATTGACTAAATGTTACATGTCTAGATGCTGATTGGGACCAAGACGAGAGATTTTGGTCATATTTTGGTGGAGTGAGGGCTGCGAAAACTATTAAAAGTGCGACAGACGACGACTTGGACTATTGGAAGAACGTCTCCAAGGAAGTCTCTTTGCACAGGTGAGTACTCACTAATAATTTTCAAACGAAAAGGATAATTTGAAGGGTATCCGATGAAGATGGAGAACTGAAGATTACCAAGGTTGGCCAAGGTGAAGTGAAGCAGACGGAGCTAGACACTAAGGTTAGTCCAGAAAAAGAAAGTGATTTAGTCAGAACGAGTGTTCAAAATCATTGCAAGTCTCACATACATTCTTGAAAGTAATTTACAAGAAACTTACAATCCGTCCCAAAATAATGTATCGACCGTCATCTGCAATAATTTTATGGAAAGCTTTCGCCTCCCCTCAAAGACATCAATTTAGATACACGGTATGGAGCAAACCACTGGCCGATCTTCATTACTCTAAGATTACGGTGGAAATTGGAGGCGCTTTTGAGCCATTGGGGGCTCTATTCCACCTTAAAAAGCATACCAAACAAACTGTAAACTGACACTGCTAATCAGAACAGCTGACATTGCGGTCTTAGCACTTTACCGCAATGATTGTTCATCATTTATGCCAAGGGAATCGCAATGACCCTTTCTACAGTGCTCCCTAAAAGATGATTACACCATTATGAAAGCTTCTCGAACTCGTAAAAAATTTAGTATTGAAAACGAGCAGGAAACTCTGATACACAACCTCTTCGATTTTTTGAATTTTTGTTGACGACCAATTCATGGCGATGTAAGCTAATTTCTGAAATACAGTAATGAAGTACACTTTGCTTTTTGGATTAATACTAAAAAACCTAACTAAAGGTAAACGATCAACGATCAAACTTTATTCTGGGATACTCTATAGTTAAGCGGGCAATCTGGTATTCCAATGGAAGTTGTTAAAATTGAGTTTACTGAATCCCGGCTGGTTGTGTCGCTTCCAAACGAAAAATGCTGCGACAGTGACCGTAAACAGGCAATCGTTTTCTGCACGTGATGTGAATATTTCCGCTCCCCCCCCCCTCCCCATCTCCTCGCAAAAACCTCTATAGTCTAGTCAAAAAACTCCACCTAGTTTTTTTTTACTTACATCACCTTTACATTTGGTGTACACACCCGAAACTTGCATGATAAGACTATTTTAGGATGCGTTCATTCTTGATGCCGCAAACGGTGGAATATTCGTATGGATTGGGAAAGGATGTACTACGAATGAGCGTAACAATGCTCTGCAGATGGGAGAGATGTTTCTCAAACAGAAGGTACATCGTGCTTCCGCTAAGGTTTTCCATTGAAAAAACGTCTTTTTTCACAGAACCTGCCACCGTGGACGCAAGTGACACGTGTACTTGAAGGGACTGAACCACAATCCTTTATGCAGTGGTAAGCACGAAATTTACCTACCCTCGTTGAATTAGTTTGAAAATTGCTGCTCAAGGTTTGGTCAGTGGGATGAGGGAAAGAAGAAAAAGACATTCGAGCCTCATTTATTCCAAGTTTCGGACGAGAGCGGCAAGGTGTCTGTTGAGGAGATCTCTAAGTTCACTCAGGAGGTAATTGGTTTCGTAAAAGAGTTGAGAGGGTTTAAAAAAAAAAGATTGGCAGTGGTTATCCATTAGCAATCATAATCAATAGTATTTAGTTCAAGCTCATTTGACAGAAACATTTCAACAAGCACTCTCTTCATGTCCATCTTTTATCTTTGTAGCATTTGACAGAAAAGAAGATGGAAGGTGTTCAAGAAAGTTAGAAATGCAAAGCTCATAGCCTCACAAATAGGATATATTTTTAAACTTCAGAATAACTAGCCAATCATAATAGATATCTTTTCGCAAATTTTCGAATGCTAATTGGTACAATTTATCGCCAGAGAAAATCATTTTGTTTGCCTTAATGTTACAAAATTCAAATTTGCACAATTTGGTGTAGCCATCGCCCTTGAGCACCAATCTGCGCAACTGGCAGCACCTGACAATGGAATCAGATTTCTTTTCCACACGATGCTAACGGGTGAATAAATCTCAGTACTTCAAGAATTTAGCCTACAGCTTGTACAGAAAAAACCTCTATCTCACAAATCTCCTAAAGCACATTTGATGTTAATGAGGTTTTTCTAATATAAATGCCAAATATTAAAATGATGAAGTATAAAATTTTGTTGAGAGTTCATTTCCAACTTTTAAAGGCAGTGGCTCTGCAAAACCAAACATACCACAGTTTTGATACGGAAGGTTGCCTGCATCCCAACATGAGAACAGAGCAGGTCCGAGTGCACAGCATGCTGCCCCTGCCTAGAAAAGTGCCCCTAGACCGGTGCGCGCAAGCCATTCTTACACGCGCTCGGACGAGCTCGAAATTTCCCTCCGACCGTCAGGCCCCCGCCAGAGTGCCGAAGCCACGGGCGGGGGCCTCAAAGGCGGCTTGCCGCAGTGCTATAAACACGATGGTCCCGCAACGATTCTACGTCTCTAACTATGACATGAAGCGTTACACTCGTCCAAATTCAAAATGATGAGCCTCGGAAAGTGCTAGTTTTCGCCGTTTTCGCGCCCTTCAAACTGTATTTTCGGAATCAGCGCGTTGAGATACCCCAGGTAAGCGACAAAACTTCAGGTTGAGGACTTGCCTTTGAAGCTTCCTCTAGCATCAATTCCAGTTCCAAAAGTTGAAAAGTCAAAGTTTTTCACAGACTAGCAGCACTTAGCCATGCTCTAGCTTTCTAGTTATCTCAGCAGAAACTGACTGTGGCCAAAACCTGCATAGTTACGCTTACCCCATCCCTCCCTCCCCACAAATAATTTTTTCTTCTCGGAACATATCCTAATGTAAGGATGAGTTTCTACTTTGCATTTAGAGCCTTGATGGTGACGATGTTATGTTGATTGACGCGCTCAATCGAATCTACGTCTGGGTTGGAGCTGGAGCTACCCGCAAGGAAAAGGAAGGAGCGCATGAGACAGCTAAAGTAAGCATTAACAGTTAGTTAAACCAAATATTAAATGTTTGATATATCATTGCAGAAATATCTCAAACAGGATTCACTTCCACGTCACAAAAATGCCACAATTGAGACGATCTTTCAGGGGAAGGAGACGCCCACTTTCAAAAAGTTCTTCCCATGTTGGGATGACAAGCTTTTCCAATCGGTTGTGAGTTGATTTATAATTTTAACGCATTTGCATGCTAATATATGCTACATATTTTAGGACACACGTTCCGTTAACAACATGAGGAAGCTACTCTTCACTTAGCTATTGTTTGTTTCTTAATTTGCTAGATTCTGAAAAAAATGAGTAAGTTTCTGGTTGTTAGTGACCTCATCTGGAGTATATTTGCCTAAGAGAATGAACATTATTGAAGGTTTGATAACATCAGTCAATAGCGTGCTTCAACTAAGTCTTCGATACTCCGAGGATATAAGCCTAGAAAGAAATGGCTGATTGAGCCCAAACTCCGCTCAAAGAAAAATAAAAAAAAGGAGTTGGGACAAAACAGCGAATGCGAAAACTACGAAATTGAAAAAAATTGAGCTTGAAGTCTTTATTTTGGGACTTCGACTGTCTGAAACTGCTTCTCCGGCTTAAAACGAGGGGAAAGCGAGAACCAAATTCCTTCCAGGTTGGCTTTGATCTATCGAACAGTATTTCTTTATTTCTTACCCTGCGTTGGGTTGAGCCTGGTTGCTTTGCTAAAGCAAGCGAATAAAAAAAAGACATTATTTTCCTGATATCCTAATAAAATTGGAGCTAAATTCGGGTTTACTAAAAGTTAGAATTTTGCTTGCTGATTTTGTATGCATGCAGTGGTCCGCACAATAACGGCTCTCTGGGCTCAGAGAATGGCGACGGCCGCCGAAACGTCAGCTTTAAGAAGAGTAATCCACAATCTTGGTGGGCGGCGGCCCAAGAGTTCCCAAAGCCTCGCCACCTTTTCTTGCAGGGGTAGTTAGCACCTCCAAGGGGCCTTCGCACCTTTTAGACGGCTGCGCCCACTTGCTCCGACCACTAGCTAATCTCATTCCGAACTGTGCAGGCCTTGTAAATAGTTCCAATGTGTTCTGCTAAATTGATGAATAATGACGATGGAAGGTGATAGATGAGGAATTATGAAGTCTACTTGTGGGCATCGCTTTGTCAGAAGAAGATACATCCGTTTTCGCGATTTTCAGCCAAAGAATGTATATATAGGTACCTCTGATGTGAAAACATATCCATTGAGCAAGTTGCACAAGTGCAATTTTTGATGGAGTTTCTAATTTTTTCGGATTTTCGGACAGTTGGATTTTTCTAGTTTTTTGGCTACAAATTCGCGTGGATCAAATTTGATGCATCTTTTAAACACTACCTTGTAGAGCTTGCTTTGCTCTATCGAATCAAAACCATAGAATCTATCCAGAATAAGCGAAATTTGACTTATTGCGGTTCAGAACAGTTTTGAAGCTATATCACTTAATAACCGAATAATTTGAGCCTCTCATCAATTTCTACAACTTTTTCATAGAGTTTGAATGCGTTTTCAATATTGAAATTTCTATTTTTTTGAATTCATGTTCTGGTGTTTTTCAAGATAATGAATGATAAGAAAGACCTTTTTCTGGAGAGATTTGTTGAAAGCTAATTATCAGCTGAAGTTTTGTAAATTTTCTGTTAGCATGCCAGAACGATTGTGACCTACTATGTAGGTCGATGCAAAAATTCTCGCCTAAATCAAGGAAAATTCAACCACTTACTAAGATTTGAACCTAAGTTCATGGCTTTTTTCTGGAAAAGAAGTGGGTTTTGCGCTTCAAGACGGTTATTCCAGTTCATCTTTTTGTTGGCATCTCAGAGAGACAAGTTTGCAAAGATTGCACTGCAAATTTTGTATCAAGTCTGGTTGTAAATAGTGCCCAAGTGGTAGTGGTAGTGAAAAATGGCGATAATTATCGTCAAGAAATTTTTGAAACGTTCATGCAATGCTCCGTACGTTTTGCAAGCTTTAATCTATGGTGATGCAGAAACAACAGCTGTGAAAAATCCTTTGCAGTGAAAATCAACTTATCAACACATTTTCTTAAGAAAACACAGTTTCAAACCAAAAATATGCTCTACTCTGCTTGCCTAGAATACTGTGAGGTTTTTTTGGAGTTTTAAAGTGTCTTTGCTTATAAAGTGCTAATTAGGAGAATTGCCTCGCAAGATGACGATTTTTCATGAATTTTCGTTGCAAGCCTATGCTAATCCCCCAGTCCGCAGGCTCCGAATGAGACCAGTGAAGGAGTGGAGCGGTGGGTGGGGTTTGACCGTTGTTGCGCGAAGGTGCGAGGAGCCTTCTGGAGTGTGAACGCTGGTGCGAATGGAGGTGCTAGAAACTCCTGCGTCCCTTCCATCTTGGTGACAGGCTGAAGAAGAGCATAACAATCTCAGTTTGTTACTGAAATATCAGCCAATACTGGACAAGATAAAAGATGTGTTTCAAACTTTTAACATATGGCTTTATAACAAGTAAGTTTCAAAGCCAGCAATTAATTCAGCGAACTTGAGATAAAACATTCTGGAACTGAGAAAAAAACGCCAAAATTTGAAATAGGGCTCGGCACAGGTGACTTGTAAGCAAGTTGGATATTGTGCAAGGGGTATCGTTTTTGAGGACAATCGACAAAAACTTGCCATGTTTTTTCAGTCGACGTTTCGTTTTTTGTTGGTTTTTTTACGTTTAGGGTTTGGGATCAAAGGGGACTTCGTAAAAATTCGCGAAACTCAAGGGGACTCTATTTCTTGCATTTTCTAAAAGCCCCCTCGTGCCGAGCCCTGATTTGAAACTCATTATTTTTACTTGTCAAATTCGGCTAATGTTTAAAACATTGACGCCTATGCAAATTTCGAGTTGTTTGCCTTTTGGGACAAAGGCCTATCGCTAATCACTCACCATTTTTCAAATAAAGCCACTCATAATAATCCCCCCCCCCCCCTCCCCGAGAACGGGTCCCGAAATTTATGAAAGTTACTCACATGGGTTATAAAATTGTGCAAATGACTTGTCTGCACTTGTAAATAGATAAAATAATCTTTAAAATTTTTCAAAAATTCAAATTTCTTTTTCGAAATTTCGGGGTTCTGAGCCAGCGAAAATTTAAGGAGCATACCAAAAAATTTTTCGGAGTGCGTGGCTGACGACAGCATCTTCATCGAAAACCTTTTTTGTCCCCCCCCCCCCCCCCCCGGAGCCGAAATTCTGGGTATGCCACTGTCATAGAGGTATATTCACCGTGCGATAGAAATGGCTGCTCACATGATGTTCGGCAACGCTTTCACCGGGCAGTATAGACTGGAATAACTGAGGGAATCTTACTACGTTTCGAAGATGACTAAAAAAAAATCAAACTTAGCAAAATGTAGCTCACGAACTGAAAAAGAGGAGGTTCACAACTTAGCCCTTTGCGGCCTTTGCGCCAATTACGAGAGTTTTTCGAAAAAAGGCTCTACTCGGCTTTCATCTCATCAGGCTATTCACTGTTGCTTTTGTTATATTGCCGAGTAATTGTAGGTGCAGGATTCAATCACGTGAACGTTTTTATGACAATTTTTTGGAGAGTCGGGCACTTTTATCTGTCTCAATATGTCACTGTGAATGAGTTTTTCACTTGCTCAACTACTTGATTGATCGATTGGATGTAAAGGAGAATTCCAAAATCTTACAGTTACACTAGAGTATATCAACTTAAGTGATGGTTGAAAATTTATTTAGGTTTCTAAGTATGATGACCACTTGAAAAACATACTCGATTAACAATACAAAAGAATGAGAAATTGAGTCACGTAGGGTGATGAATATCTCTTTTATGTTTTGTGATTGGCTAATCCATTCACAGCTTTGACGCTTAGCTCGAAGTTTCAAGAGTTTAGCTCCCGTCATTTATAAAGTTTGAATGACGGGAGTTGAACTCTTGAAATTTTTAAATCATAAACTAAAAGAACTTTCCAAATCAATCTCTTCACTTCTCATTTCCTTGAATATAAGAAATTACGTTTTATTATCCGTATATACAATTCGTTAGCGCACTCAGAGTGGAGAAAAAGGCGGTGCTGACCCGCAAAGGGTGAAGGTGAGAAGTCAGTCCGAGTTTCCTTGAAGGTGCTAAGTAGCCCTACAAGGAAAGGAGGGGGCTTACATCATATGTGTCAAGCGGTCTCAATGCTTAAAGGCAGTGTCCGGGCAGAAACTCGACTTCTAAAAAATCAACTTATCTGGGGTTATCCGCAACGCTGAATCCGAAAATCCACATCAGAAGGCGCGAAAACGGCGAGAACATGCATTTTCCAAGTCCTCACATTTCGAAATTTGGGGATCCCCGCCAGGCTAAGACGCAGAGGTTGCAAAGAGCGCACGGTTTTTAACTGTGGCGGCATACGTACTCTGCCAGGAATTCAAACAACTCGGAGGACCCCGCCCCAAGGCGTAAGTTTCCCCAATTTGCAATCGTTTTTCTTGCTTTAGGTCGAACGTTTTATGCTCGCAGTTGCGCGATGTTGTGTCTCAGGGGGGCTACTTTCACATGGCAGAGAAATCTCAGAACCCCCATTTTGCCCGGACACTGCCTTTAAGTAATCTTGGGAATTTGGAACAATGACTATTGGAGAATTTAAGTACAAACTTATGTTAAGAATTTAAGTTTATTCTACGATTTTAGCGAGTACGAAAACGGAATAAGATTTTGGCTTAGCCTAATGTATTGACAGTTCTACACGACGTTTACGACCTCTTGGAACAAGTGGTGAATCAGTATAGGAACGTGCGTTTGTGGCTGTAAACAACATGATTCATCATTTTTTGAACATCATTTCTCAACCATGGCTCCACGACTTTCGCCGTTTATGATTTCTTTTTTGCGTTTCTCATATATTTTCAGCAATATTTCTCCTGCAAAAAACCAATACTTTTTTATAATTAGACACACGTTATCAGCATCTGCGTTGAACCACTGTTAGATATAAAAGTGCTATGAGGTAACGCGGTGCAAAGTGTTTTGTCATTTTGATTGGCTTCATTCTGTTTGTTTCACTAATGCTCTAAAGAATCAAATATATACGCGCGTATGTGCTTCTGTGCAATTCATATTCATAGCAAGTTAAGAGTAGTTTCGCTTGCAACTAGCTAATTTGTTTGACTTAATTGGTGTTAGTATCTAAAGGCTACTGCATGACGAAGGCGCAGAGGCAGTATTAGTTGGGCGGGCGCGAACGCGACGCGCGCGCATCTTTACCGTTGTAAC